AAGTTATAAGTCTCTTACATCTCTCTCCAAATAATGACTTAGGCTATCATCTTAATGCAAGAAACTAAATGATAATTTCCAAAATGTAAAGCATTTTGTTTCCAAATTGACCAAATGCATTGATTTTATTGTTATTAGAAATAACATGCTATGCAGTAATTGTTGCAAAGTTCTCTGTATTTTTGCCTCAATATTTTTCTGAGTCAAAAAGGGTAACATTTTCAATATTTAAATGTTGGTAAACTAGTAATTTTTGAGCAACTACTCCATACCTTCTATGAAAGAACTGTTTATTAGTTTGGAAGACTTTTATTAATAGGCCTTAGTAGCTTGGTTGTTCCTATTTGCCATACCTACTTCATCATGTTGTTAAATTGAATTTCTCTTTGGGGAAAAAAAGAAAAAATCATGTAATATCTGAAAATAAAATGATCAGATGTATTAAGCAAAGGCACAATCAGTGACTTCCTTTCTTGTTGTATATGCCAACTGAAAATATCATAGAGGCATCAGATGGTAGAAGAATATAAGGTTCTGTGGCCACTGATGGCTCTTTGTTAAGATTGTACACAGGAGAATTGACTGTACTGTAATAGGGAGTCTTCTCACTAAAACATTACAAGAGACAGAAGCTTCTAGCTCACTGAAATGCTACTTAAGTTATTATATGCTTGAATGATTACAAGAACAACAGATAGCTATGTAATTAATGCAAACCGTGTCAGCCTCCCTCACTTCCTTCTCATCTCCAAGCCGACCAGTAATGAGGTGCCTTCTGACACACAATCCAGGCAACACACTGACAAATCATCTTGATATTTGAAAAGGCACAGAAAAAATGCATGCACCGTGACGATGCTAGCAAGCTACAGTTCCTCTTCAGCAGGGACTTCAGGTCAGAACTGTCTCTAAGGCACATACTCCTGGCACATATAAGTCATCATCTATAGGGCTACAAAGACAGCTTCCATGGCCAGAGAGGCCTAATGTTATGACTCAGAAAGCAAAAGTTTTCTCTAGGCCTGATCTCCCTATTTCTCTTTATGGCAGTATGCTTGAGCAGATATTGAAAAATAAAAATCCCTCTGAGATTGTTACACATTTGACTACTTATTTCATGATTGCATGATAAACTTATGCCTAGCAAGAAATTATGTGTTTTCTTTTCTGTGACCTCATGCAAGAGAAGATTGCAAGAGATAGTAATGTCAACTTGTATTATTAACATAAAACATGCAATGCCTCCTCAAAAGGCAAACCACATTTGTTGCTGTGAAGTCAATTCCAACTGCATGCCTCCTCATGTATCATAAAACATAATTCTCACCATGGTTTATTGGGTAGGTCCATCTGTATCATCATTGAATGTCATGCTGAGTGTATTCTTCCCTGCAAAAACCATGCTACTTGTTACAGGCCATCATTAAAGGCATAAAATGCAGGCTTTGATTCTTTGTTTGACTTTAATTTTGTTAGAGAAAAAGAATTGATATGCAAAAATATGCAAAATTATGAAATTCAATAAAGGCTCAAAATTATGAAGTTCAATTAAGGCTTAAAATATTCCAAGTGAACAATGACAATGAAAAATATGATAGGCGATCAATAGCTGAAAATTGGACTATCATAAGAGAAGGATAAATAAATGTAATTTCTCTAGAAATTGTAGACATCAAACGATGGGAATGCAAGCGATCAAAAATATCATTTACTTCTTTTTTCTTCAATGAGCCTCTGAGTATTTCCTTAAAGGCAACAATGTGAGCAGAATTCATTGGCACCAGGAATGAAATTGGATATTCAAAGAAGTAAAATATAACAGGTAGAAAATATAACATAAGACTTTGAAATTTATGTTGACATTTGTAGAGATCAACTTCTAAAACAAATTTAGGCTAGGAGGGCAGCTCCTGGAATTCCCTCAGGACCCGTGGGGAGAGACTCATAAAGGTCAGAGGACAGACCTGGGATTATGTATGATATTTTGTTTGCTAGGTTTTTTTTCTTTTCTATTTTTATTCAAAATTTTGTTTTTTGTTTGGTCTCCGTTGTTGTTGGTTTGCCTACTTATATAAGATAGGAAAGCAAGCTCGAGGAGAAAGCAATGGGACTAATGGTTCTGGAGTGACTTAAGGAGAGAAGGAAACAGGAGAAGGGACCAGTGAGCCAACAATGCCATAGACATGGGAATAACTAGGGAATTAAATCAACAATGAGGAGGACATAGAGATCCGGGGGGTGGGGGGCAGTGTTGGAGCAACAGCAATATAGTTGAGAAAATTACTAACAGCCAGAAAAAGAGCAAGCATGATGGTGGGGTAAGAGGAAGATAAAAGGAAACATGAAAGATCTTGGAAGCACAGCTATGGATAGAAATATAAGTATAGGAGTCTATATGTGTAAATGAATTAATTAATAAAAATATAGGTCTTGGCCTATGTACACATATTTATATGGCAATACACTGAGGTAGTGAATGGACTTCAGGTCTCTGCTAATGCCCTCCCTCAATGCAAGAACATTTGTTCTAACAATGTAGCATTCTGTGATTCTCCCCCTCCTGCCACCATTGCTGGAGACAAAATGGGTGCATAAGCAAATGTGGTGAAGAAAGCTGATGGTGCCCAGCTATCAAAATGTATATTGTCTGGGGTCTTAAAGGTTTTAAGTTAAACAAGCAGCCATCTAGCAGAGAAGCAACAAGCCTACATAGAAGAAACACACCAGCCTGTGCAATCATGAGGTGTTGACGGGATCAGGTGGCAGGCATCAGAAGACTCCAAACAAACAAACAAGAAAACCATATTGCTGAGAACAAAGAGGGGTCAGAACAGAGACCCCAAACCCATCTGTAGACAATGGTACATCCCATCACGGAAAGGTCACAAGGAAGGGGTGATTCAACCGGGGCGCAGTGTAGTACCAGTGAAGCACACAATATTCCTCGGCTCCTTGAGGCTTCCTGACCTCCTATAAATCATGACCCAAGTCCAGCCTTCCACTGCAGGCTAGATCAGAGCAAGTGTACAGGTATGGATAAGAGATAAGAGCTCACAAAACATGGAATCCAGGAACAGGAATGGAAGTAGTGATACCAGGATAGTAGGGGGAAGGTGGGGAAAGGAGGGGAGGAAACGGGAACTGATTGCAAGGATAGACACATAACCATACTGCTGCCCCACCCCCACCCCCACCCCAGGGGCACGAACAACAGAAACCATGGGGGAAGGGAGACAGCAATTTTTGTAAGATATGAAAATAATAATCTTTTATAATTTATCAAGGGGTCACGGGGGGGGGCAGGGAGGGAAAAAAGGGGAGCTGATATCAAGGGCTCAATAGAAATTAAATGTTTAGAAAATAATGATGGCAACATGTACAAACATGCTGGATATGATTGATGTATGGATTCTTATGAAAGCTGTAGAAGCCACCAATAAAATGATCTTTTAATAAATATATATATATATAAATGAAATCTATGCCATAAAAAATGTTAAAGGGGATGGTGGCACTGGTTAAATGGTATGCTATAAAATCTAGCTGATATAAGACTTTAGATTAAAGAAATATAAATGAAAACAAAACTAGTAGGATACCAGGGATGTGATAGACCTTAACCTGTGCTTTAAATAGTAGCTTCCATTTGAACAGGCCTGAAGAAGAGAATGACTACCAGATGGAGGTAGACTACATAATATAGGCCATGAAATCAGTATTATGCATGGCATATTTATGGGTCATTAAATAATTTAATTTAACTTAAGAAATGATGCAATAAGGAATAGTGATAGTTTGAGATTTATAGAGTAATACTGTTAAGTGATGGAAAGAATCATTTTAGATACATTAATTGAGATCTGTGTATCCATACTTTGGTTTTTGGACTCGAGGAAAACTCTGGAGATAAAAGAAGTAGTAGGAATGTATAGCTACACATACTTAGAAATGCATACCTACTAAGTAATACATTTATGAAATACATATATATATAATATATATGTTAGTGTATACACACACATGTATATGTGATTTAAAAAGTATTGCTACCACAGTTTCAGTTTAAGAAAACCCATATTTATTCCAAAGAAAACATGTTTAAACATTTTTCTGCGACCAGTGGCTTACTGAAGATACATTCGCTCAGACTTGTGAAGATGCCTTTTAAAAAATATGCATTCAAAATAGTGGCAGCTGAGGGGATCTACTGGTCCAGTGAAATACAAGGCAGAGAGATCAGTTTATGGCGATTGTTCTGTTCTGTTTTATTGCGGTATATTGATGGGCTGGGAGTATAAAGAGGTATTCTTGACAGATTTTCTCAAAGGACACAGACCAATCAGAGGCTTATTAAGCAAAAATTTTAAGAAATCTGAGAACCGTATTGATGAGAAAGTTGTGCCAACAAATGTTTTTCCAACTCAGTAATATGTCTGCTCTTTCTTTGAGTGTAGCAAGCACTTTTCTGGGAGAATTTCATTGGGAAACCTGGTCCATCCACCCTGCAGCCCTCATCTTGCCCAGTCTGATTTCTTTTTGTTTCTCAAACACCAAGAACATTTTCAAGGTACTTAATTTTATCCCATCAAGCATGTTAAAACTGCCATTTGGACATGGTGTACATTGAAGAGCACAGAGTTCTTTAGGAAAGGATTCAAGAGAGATGGAAACATGACCATCAGATGTATACAGCCCTAGGTGAAGGTTTTGTTCACATATAATAGCTTCACATTTTCATATTTTGGGCTAATTAAATAAATTAACCAAATAAAGGATTGTTTAATTTTTGTTCCTATTAGTTTGTAGCAATACTTTTTCACTTATCTATATCAAAGGATATATATACATATGAATGAAAATAAAAGCAATAAGTGGAAATTTTGTAATTTTACATCTTTCTACAGTTTGTTAACTAACAAGGGTATTTATTAATTCATTACTTTTTTAATACTGCCAGCTTTCAAGGGCACTTATATTCATCTTCAAATGTAAAATGCATTGTACTTACCTGGCAAGGGAGATACCAAGATTACAAAGGTGGTTTTCCCAGGATGAGACTTATCCATTGTGCTCTGGATGTGCTGACACCTGTGATTTCCCCAAATGTGGGAAATTCGACTGCATAATGTGTGGTAGTGGGGGACTGCGTTTGCACTCTCCTCTAGTGGCTGGAGGCCTGGGGGTGGAATGTAAAATGCATTCTGTAGGTGTCCAATCAATTTTCATGCATTTTGTTGTTTTAAGTGTTTATTTAGTGAGAGTAAACTGAGTATTCCCATTGAATAGAGACTGAAATACTTGGCAAAGTATGTAAATATTTGCTCATTGAATAGAGACTGGAGTAAACCCCAAGGTCAAGGCGTTGTGTCACTCTGCGGGTCTGAAACTGGATACACTCTCCCGATGCAATTTGCAGACAAATAATGGATAGACCTGTAAAGGAAACAATAACCGTAGGAAGTCATATACTCTACTGTCAACTAGTTGATTCCAAATGATGATGAACCTAGAAGACAGATTGGAACCCCTGTGGGTTTCTGATACTGTAATTTTTAATGGGAGAAGTCTCCTCTGAGATTCAATAATCAAACTTTAAGACAAAGAATAGTATCAGAGATAAAATGGGATAATCTATAATTATAAAGTATAAATCATTAGAAAAAATGTTATAATAATAATAAGTGTGTATGGACCAGATAACAGTGCTTCAAAATATATTAGTCAAAAATTAACAGATTAAAAGGAAAACATAATGTAGCAATCATAGTAGAAGCTTTAATACCCTCTTTGCAACAAAGAATGTTTTTTTAAAAAGCAGACCAAAATAATCAGTAAAAACATCAATGATCTGAACATCTTCTTTCTTAAGTGATATTTGCATTAAATATAAAATTCTTTTTTGGCAAGTTTATTCCTTATGATTATTACTTTCTTTATGCATTTATAAATAAATAAATTAATTATTTTTATTTGTCTCCTGTGTTTTCTTTTTGGTTACTACATTCATGCCTTCTCATACATTATTGAGCTTGATTAATATAGTTTGTTGGTTTGGGTTGACTAGAGAAACAAACCCAGAGACACACATAGGAGTGTGTCAGAACTTTGTATCGAAGAGTAAGTGGACATTAAGAAAACATCCCAGCCCAGTCCACATCAAGTTCCTCAATCTGATATTAGCCCATGTGCCCAATACCAGTCTATAAATTCCTTGTCAGATTCACATTACACAGGCAATGATGCTGAATGCAGGAAGATCACAGAATAGTAGGTGGAAAAGCGTGTGGATCCAATGGTTGTGGAAGCAGCTCATCGGTAGGGTGGACCCACATGGCTCCTCCAGCTCCAGAACTCTGGCTCCATCAGCATAGCTCCATATGGCTTGTCAACATGAATATCTCCCAAGGAGATTCTGTGTCCCACCTCCAGGGAGAAAACCAGAATTCCTAGAATCCTCAGGAGAAGACCATGCCCACAGAGAGGCTTCATTGGCTAGGATCTGATTGACAGACTAGACGCCACCCATTCACAAATTGACAGATTATGTAACTGCTACATATAGCTTCTATACAGTTTTTGTTTGGTAATTCCAACCGCGTTTTGTTTAAAAGATGTCTTTTGTTTATTTTACTTTTCCATTTGTTTTGAGTCATATTTTCTGGGTTCTTTATCTAATTAGGTTGAATAGTTTGAAAGACTCTGAGTAGTTGAATAATTTTACATTGTGTCCTGAACTTTGTATTATATTAGACTGTTGAGACCCAATATACTGTTATATACCTCTGATGGATGTGAATATTTTTGTTTTTATTTTAGATAAAAAAATAATTCTCAAACTACACACATTTGTAGTAGGTGGCTCCTGAAAGTTCAGTTTGGTCTGTAAGCCTCAAGGTTCAAGTGAATTTCATTCTGTGTGGTTCCAGGCTCAGACTTAGCCAGAGTTTATACAGATTTGTCAACAGCCTTCTTTGTTTCATTTCTCCCAAAGAGTCCTTTCTAGTTTTTAAGGACTCTGGAAGCCCTAAGTTCTGTTCTTTGGTTCTTGCCAACAGAAAGAGGTCAAGATTTTAAAATGAGTTTTAGTTGACCTATGCCTTTCTGCAAGCAGTCTACCCTCAGGCAAGAGCTGTATTAACAGGAAACAACTGGTGCTGGCACCTTCTAAATCTGACTCCCCGCCAAAATTTATTCTATCTTGAGTATGGTGGTTTGTGTGTGTGTAGACATTATAGCTATTACCCGCATGACAGTCTTGGTATTAGGAACTGTTCCATTACACTAGAAAATAAAATGTATGTGCTTATTTGGCAGAAGAAAGTTATCAACTTCATATAAAAAACTTCTCAAAAATAATAAGTGGATTTTGGACTACCCCTGTGAGTTTAAGTGCTCATTGCTTTTGTTATTAGTGTTCTGATGAAATGCATTGTTTTTAAGAAAATATTTTTTTTTAAACATTTTATTAGGGGCTCGTACAACTGTTATCCCAATCCATACACACATCAATTGTGTAAAGCGCATTTGTACATCGTTTCTCAAAACATTTTCTCTCCACTTAAAACCCCGACATTAGGTCCTCATTTTTCCCCTCACTCCCCGCTCCCCCCTCCCTCATGAGCCCTTGATAGTTTATAAATGGGCATTTTGTCATATCTTGCCCTGTCTGATGTCTCCCTTCACCCACTTTTCGGTTGTCTGTCCCCCAGGGAGGAGGTCACACACAGTTCCATGTAATCGGTTCCCTCTTTCCTACCCATTCTCCCTTTACCCTCCCTGTTTTGCCACTCACACCACTGGTCCTATAGGGCTCATCCACCCTGGATTCCCTGTATTTTCAGTTCCTATCTGTACCAGTGTACATACTCTGGTCTAGCCAATCTTGCAAGGTCGAATTCGAGTCATGGTAGTGGGAGCGGGGAGGAAACATTTAGGAACTAGAGGAAAGTTGTATTTCTCATCGTTGTTACATCGCACCCTGACTGGCTCATCTCCTCCCCGAGACCCCTCTGCAAGGGGATCTCCAGTGGCCTACTAATGGGCTTTGGGTCTCCACTCTGCACTCCCCCATCATTCACTATGGTAAGATTTTTGTTCTGATGATGCCTTATACCTGATAGCATACTGTCTTGTCAGGTACTGTAATAGTATGAGAGATTGGTATGGGGGGGGGCATGTCTGAACTCTGATCTCCTCCAATTTTACTATAACTCCACACCTGTCAATGATTATTGTGAGGTAGAAATCAAACATGCCTACACACTGCAATCTTCTTTATAGATTCTGACAACTGTACCTCACTTGTCCTTTACTTCTCTGCTGACTTCAGAAATAATTCATTGAAATGACCAAACAGAACTCGCAGACAATAATCCTGATTATGGGATATATATATTACAGAAGTTAACAGGTTGTAATTTAAGACCAGAAATTTTAAGGATACAGTTCGTTCACACACAGCACCTCTTCTCAGTTGTGCCAGCAGACATACCTCTCTCTTGGTCTTGACCTATCCGCTGTGTGTCCCCTTGGCCCATATCCTGCTCAAATATGTATCAAAAGCTCTTTTAACTATGTCCAGACACACACAGCTTTAATTACACCACAGGCAAGGAAGTCCATCGCTATATCGCACTCAGGCTCTTGGTTTTGTTCCTCCGTCATTACTCTCCAATCTGTCATCAGAGCTCTGTCTCCAAGCATGGGATACTTGGGGTCCAAAGGATGCACTTTCTTTCTGGCTTATTATAAGATTCCTCATTACTGCTTCTTACATGGATCAAGTTATACCCAGTGAAATGACAAAACTGACCATACATCTTATTTTTATGCTCATACCAAGTCTTCTAGTGAGGTGCTATTTGTTGTTAGAGTCCCTAGCATCAGTTCTGATTTGTAGAAATACATAATGGATGGAAACACTGCCTGGTCCTGAACCATCCTCCCAATTGCTCCTATTTACACGGACTATATCATCCATCTCACTGAGGTATTTCTATTTTTTGCTGATCCTCTGCTTTACCAAATATAATGTCTTTTCCCAGAGACTGGGACCTCCTAATAACCTGTCCAAAGTACTTGAGATGAAGACTTTTTATCCTTACTTCTTAGGAGAATTCTGACTGCATAGTCCCCAAGACAGATTTTCTTATTCTTCTGGAAGTCCGGGGTACTTACAATATTCTTAACAAACACCATAATTCAAATGTATCCATTCTTCCTTATCTCTTGTTCATTTGTTTTATATATATATATATATATCATGATGTCATTGGAAATATCATGGCTTGGATAAGGTGCACCTTAATTTTCAGAGCGGCATCTTTGCTCTTTAACACTTTAAGAAGTCTGTGTTAAAGATTTGATAATACGCAATATGATGTTTGATTTCTTAACTGCTAATTCCATGAGTGTTGATTATGAATCCAAGCAAAACAAAATCCTTGAAACTTTTAACCTTTTCTCCATTTCACATGATGATGTCTATTGGCCTAATTGTGAGGATTTGGGTTTTTGTTACACTGAATCTGGATTCACAGCGAAGCCTGCAGTCTGTGATCTTCATCAGCAAGCGGGTCATGTCCTTCTCACTTGTTGCATGCAAACCTGTGGCGCCTACATATTTCAGATCACGAATATGTTTCCCCCAATCCTGATGCCACTTTTTACAATCCAACTTCTCAGTTTCTATTTTCAGCACAAAGCTTGAGTAAATATGGTGAAAGATGCAATCCCAATGCACACCTTTCTTGATTTTAAACCATGTAATATTACTTCATTGTTATTGTTTGTTGTTTGGGGGTGGTGGTTAATGAAAGCCTTTTGATCCATGTACAGGAGCTGCATGAACACAATTCAATGTTCCAGAATTCCCATTTTGCTCAATGCTATCCATGTTATGTTATAATTCACACAGTTAAAAGTCTTCACATAATAAAATACTAGTAAACATCTTTCTGGTATTTTTGTTTCGCTTTGTTTTGAGTCAAGATTCATCTGATATCAGCAATGGTATCATCTATCCTTCTCTGTTTTCTTCTGAATTTGACTTGACTTTCAGCTGCTACCTGTTCATGTACTGCTGCAATTTTTATCGAAAGATCTAGCAAATTTTCCTTGCAGGTGATATTAATGATGTTGTTCAATAACTTACTTGCTATGTTA